GTGGCATGAAGAGATGTCTACAGCCTACCACTGCCATCTTCCTTGGAAGGAAAAACAGTAAGCTATACTTGGGGCTACTTTCAGCAAGCTACATTCCTCAGTGGTTTGCACACTGATGAGTTATTTTCTCATAAAGACACTTAAACGGCAGTATTTTGGCACTATACCTAATCTTTTATTGCACATGTAAACTATTGGTTAAGCTAACCTTTGAACAAAACCCTATAAAATTCTACCAACTATCTACCTGGAAACATCAGTTCTAAATTAGACTGGTACCCTCTTCTTCACAGGTGTAAACATTATAAAATAATAGTTTCTTTCTCCATGCTTATTTTCATAAGAAATAGTGACAGAAGAATAGGACATGAATCAGCCACAGCTTGGTATAATGGAAAGAGAGCTAGCTTTGGAGTTAGGAGGACCTGAGTTCAAATTCTGACTCTTGACACTAGTTATGTGACTCTTAGTAAATCTCTGAGTTTCAGTTTCTTTATATGTAGATTTGAGGATGAAAATAATAACACCTACCTAACAGGGTTGTTATGGGAGTAAAAAAAAAAAAAAAGACACAGGTAAAGTGCTTTGGAAACATTAAATTGTTATATTAATTCTAGCTATTTTTATTATTATGAGTCAGGATTCTGGCCCTCAGCAAGAACCTGAGAAAGACAAAATGCTGTAACGACCATGAAGCAGAAAGGTAATAAAGCCATATTACTCATTGTAATAGTGGTCAGTTATCTGTATTTACTGCTTGTACTGAAAATAGTGCTAATGTTATATAGTAGGGAATAAGTGACATCTTTCCTTTTTCCATGTTGATCAGCAGAAATAATCTAATGTGATTTCATTTTGACAAAAAGAGTGAGTATAAAAAATGGAGAATTACAGAGCTTTTTGGCATTCCATTCCCCTGAAGAAAACCTAAAGGCAACTTAAAGAAATGTTGTTTGTCCTTTGTTCTTGAAGAGGACCATCACATCAGGCAGGTGAAACTTAAAGAAATAAAGGCATTTCCTAAGATCCACTGATGGGTCTTTCGACACCTAAGTCGCATCAAAGCGAAGAACGAAGGAAGAGTTACAAATGGCAGCACTGGAACTGACCAATAAGAAATGTTGCCATTCCATTACACTATTTAGCCACAGATGGAATATTGAGCTTTGAAGAAATGGCTGGTGTACCTTAATCATCATATTTCTGCCCTCCCTATTATAAGGAACAAAACCTTAGAAAAATTTCTCATGAGATTTAGTGTTTCTCTTGGGTTAAAACAAAAAAAAGTACAACAAGTTGACTTTACCAGCTGAGCCCTGGAACTCTGCCACATGCAATCTTCTGTGAAATACTCAGAAAATGTCCAGAATTCACTGGCCGTATGCCCAGTCCTTCTAGCCAAATAGCAGTTTAGCTAAAAGGGTGCAAGGTTTAGACACATGCAAGCTGTTTAGAGCTCCAACACTGTAATATTCATTAGCACCTCTTTTGAAAACTTGGAGGCATAGAAGACATTTTCATTATGAACAGGTATGAGAAGACACATAATTTCAAAAAAAAAAAGTATGCCTTTGAAAAGGAAAAACATGATAAGGATATATCTCCACCTGTTATTTCAAAAAGAAATTTTTATTTCTTCTTTAAAAAAAACTCAAAAGGTTTTAGACATCATTGTTCCAGTTAGTGGATTATTCAAGTCTTCAGACAAAATGGCTCCACATCAGCTATTGACTTCTCTTTGGTAAGATGAATAGCAATTCTCATGTCTACACATAAAGCACTAAAACAAAGAGGAATAAAGCAGTTAAACTATGCCATGACATATGCTAATGTTAAAAAAAAAAGTTGTTCCTTCATTTATGGAGTTTGGGTTTAACATGGGAATAGAAAAGAGAGCAGAAGTAGAAGGGAAAACATCTCCAAAAGTAGGAGATTTTTTGAAAATTAAAGATGACTTTTGTAGGAAGTTAAGATCCTAAATCCAAGCTCTGGAAAGTGATAGCTAAATGTCTACTGGTAACCACATTTAAGAAATAAATATATTCCAATAGTCTGGGTTGTATGTGTAGGAGCCTGTGTTTGTGGATTCTTGGTATTAGTTTGAAATCTGCCAATCTAGTTCACTCCCACTTAATACGGGAGCTAAAGAAATGTTTACCCTTCTATTAACGTCCCTGTTAATAGACTTTCAGAAGTCGGCTTCTATTTCATATTGTCAATGGGTGTCTTCAAACATCTTGTTTTCACAATCAGGCAACAGGCTTTTATCTTGCTTTTTAGAGGGTTTAGTTAAAGGTTCCAATATAGAAGCTGAGGAGGGTTTCTGGCAGTACAAATACACCATACATATTCTCATTGCTTGAACAGCAGGTCATTTGGTCACTGGAACAATGAGTAAGGAGTGAGGAGTGGAGACACCCGCAGAAAGATGTGGGTGGAGAAAACAATAGTTATAGCTCAATAATGAAAACAGTCAAAATATAAGTCCTTAGTGATTAAAAGCTATGCAGGATAATGAGCAGGCCTGGTAGTGGTTGAAATTCTATTTTCATAAAAGCAACAGCAATTAGCCAGATGAGTCAGGGACATATATTTGTTCTTCCTGATAATGAAAGGAAAAGATGCCAAAAATCACGATCCAGTCGGCCTTCAAATGAAACCAGCCCACTGACGTTTTGACTAGGTACACACACACACACACACACACACACACACACACACACACACACACACACACACACCCCCTTAATTTCTAGGCCATTAGCAATGCCCTTTTCCTGGCACAGCGGCAACTCTGAAAACGTTATAGTTTCATCATTTTTTATTAATATTTCCTGCATTCAGGTTATTGGTTGTTACATCTATAACATGTTAAACCCTTTCCTTCAAATTAATCAGCTGTAGTTCCTTATTAACATCATGGATATGTCTCATGAAGAAATTAACAATGACCTCAGAATATTAGAATATTAATTAGAATATAATTCTAATATTAGAATATTAGAATGTCTATTAAATTCTAAACCCAGGGCCTTGTGATTGCATGGAGGTAGTCCTGGGTTCTTAAAGTCTAAGTCAGGAGAAAAGAAACTCTCTAGCAGCTCCTAACAAGCTGGTAATGCTTGGAGTCTGGGCCTGGCAACAGATTGTATCTGTTGTCTGAGAAGGAATCTAGCCAAGAGGCTCATCACTTCATAGAAGATTACCCAATGGGTGATTTTGTTTTTAAAAAAAGTCCTTCTACTCATGCACACAAGTATTGCAATCAACATTGATGAAGGTAGTACTGACACTGACAAAAGGACAGATGCATTAAAAAAGAATATTTAAAACACTGTTAGCACAGAAAAAAAACGCTATGACAAATGTATTAAGAAAAGCACAGCTGAGTGTCAGGGGTTGGTCATTTTTGCCATACCAGCATTTTAGCTCAATTCCCTGTGGCCAAGGATAGTTAATAATATTTTAATGCCATTCCTGGGCTTTCGGTGGCTCTTCTCCATCCATCCATGCTCCTAACTGGATGAGACGCTAGACAGGCTTCAAGGAGTCATGAAAAACCTCCCACTTCCAATGGTAAGCTTGTCATGAAGATGGGTAAAGTCTTCCCAATGCCTAGTACAATGGGTGATTATCACAGGACCAGTGATCAAGAAAGTTCTAATCTAGTCCTAACACTGTGGCTTTTGGAAAGAGTTACTAACTTCCTGTCCTTTATATCAACTGCTCTGCCTTCCCAATGGTGGTAATATCAGAATATGTTCTAAACACCACTAAGACACCAGTTCCTAACTCAACAGACATTCATGCTACCCAGGATACATTTGCACCATCTTTCTTTAAGATAGGTATTCCTAATTTTTTTGTGTATCATGAAACTCTCTGGTCATCTGATAAAGCCCATGGATCCTTTCTCATAATAATCGTTTTTAAATAATTGAAGGAAATGCTAAGTTTCAGTTAGAGGTTAGTAAAGATAATGATGTAATTTTTTTTTCTCCATCCAAGTTCACAAATCTGTTGAAACCTATCCATGTATACTCTGGGATTAAAAACTCTTGCCTAAAGGGGTTTAGGAGGTATCATCCAATAATCTGAGATCTGAGGCATTCATATGAATCACATTATCTCAGGGATCCTGGAAATCTGCATTTGTTCTCTCTTGCCACTGGCATAGTCTGACTCAGGTCAGTCCTGTTTCTTACCCTTCGAATCACAGAACGGGACAACGTAGGGCTGATGTAGGCTGGAACAATCTGACTCCATGTCCACTATAACAATTTCTGATGAACTTTTACCTTCTTCATAGAGTCTGGAAAACTATCCTCATACATAGAGGCAGCTAAGTGGCACAGTGGAAAGAAGGCCTGGAGTCAGGAAGATCTGAGTTCTAATTCATCCTCAAACACTACAGCTGTGTGACCTTAGGCAAAATATTTAATCTCTGCTGCCTATTTCCTCATCTGTAAAATGGGGGTGATAATGACACACCTCCCAGGGTTGTTGTGAGCATAAAATGAGATAATATCTGTATAATGCTTAGCCCAGTGCCTGACATATAGTTAAGTGCTTAATAAATAGTTTATTCCCTTTCCCTTCCCCCCATATCTGAGCTAGAAAAATCAGATGAATGGGAATTGCTGTTATCAGGATTCATTATTATCTATTTCCATGAGATAAAGGCATTAGGTCGGAGAAGAAAAACTATCTCATTTTTGGAAATAGTCAGGCTGGCACTCTGATAAACAACAATGAATGTCATAGGCAAGAATTAATATAAAATTGGTACTTTATAGAAAGAGAAGAACCACGACAACAAAATGATATTAGTACAAGCTGGTAACAGGACCTCACTCTGTGTAGTGCAGAATGAGATGTCTGGGTTTCAAATCTACTCATGTCACATTCTGCTTATGTTGACACGCAGCAATTTCCAAGACCCACACAGAAAATACAGGGCTACACAGCCTCTTCCAATTTGTGTCATGACTTCCTCTTACCTTTCTTTTGATGTCAGTGAACTGAGAAAACATTAAGGACCAATAGAAGGACAATTCCAGGATATAGTAGTAATGAAGGTCAGGTGTCAGTGGCTGGAAGTGAGAGATGAAAGAAAAAGTTTATTAGTTAACATAGACCCTACTTTATTTTGCAAACATTTCAAATATATTTTAGATAAGTGATACAACACTTGCAGCTTGAACAAATGGGTTTGATATTTCATTCTGTACAATGGCAATGATGTTTTCCAGAGTAGCTCCAACTTACAGTTTGATATCATCATAGCCCTATCTTCTCCCCTACGAGTTTTGGAGTTAGTTTTTCATTGGTCTAGTAGAAGCACTGAAGGTTTTAAAAAAGCCTAAAGAATAACTCTGGGACTTTTTAGAGCACTTGAAAACTGCAAGCATGTCCTAAAACAGGGAAGAAGAATAACACTCTATGACTGCTGTGGGATTTTATTGTACAAGAATAAGGAGAATAAGTGTTCTTGTCCCCAGTCTTAGGCTAAAAGTTTATTGCTTAGTTAAGCTCAGGAGAACAAGAAGAAAAGAGAAAAAGCATTTATTGTGCACTTACGATGTTCCAGGCACTGTGCTAAGTGCTTTACAAATATTATTGCATTTGATTCTCACAATAACCCAGAGGTAGGTGCTATTATTTTTCCCATCTTGTAGTTGAAGAAATGGTGGCAAACAGAGGTTAAGTGATTTTTCCAGGGTCACATAGCCAGTTAAGTGTCTGAAGCTGGATTTGAATGCAGGTCTTCCTGACTCCAGGACCAATAATCTATTCATTGTACTACCTAGCTGCCTCTCAAGAGTTAGAATTATCTCAACTCATCATTAAACCTTACTGTTACAGAATAAATCATTTCACATACTGTCAAGACTAAATGGATGCTTAAAAACATGAACTTAAATGATCAGAATAATGGAGAAGCTACTCTAATAGTCTGGGACCCGACAGTCAAGTAGCCAAGAGCCTGGGATCATCAAGAAAATGACAGTGCAGTGGGAGGGCAAGGGAGGGAGGGAGAGAGAAAGAGAGAGACAGACAGACAGACAGACAGACAAAGGGTGGGAGGGAGGGAGAAAAGATTTTTGAACAGTTCAGACAAGGGTCTCTGTTCATATGGTGGTTATGCCTAGTAATTATTTAAAATTAGTAAAATTGTTTTAAATTAAATTAAAGTTGTTTAAAATTAATAAAATTTAGTAATTATTAAATTTAGTTTAAATAGTTAAAATTAGTAAAATTTGGTAATTGTTTAAAAGGTTGGAAGTTTGGACTGGTGCCCAGTTAAGCAAAATAGTTCTAACTGCCCCAAATTGGAACAGGTGAATAGGGACTACAAAAGAATAAGACAGGAGTAGATAAGTAGGGTAAAGAAACAGGAAGTTAGCCATGAGGCTTTAGAATGAGTTTTAAGTGGGAACTACAAAAGACTACAGTTTTATTCGAGGGGCAGGAGGTATGAAAACCAAGAGAACTATTCATGTGGGCTTGTCTGTTTTGTGCTCCATGGGTTATACATACAAACTGATTCTCCAGCTTTAGGAGAAGTTGAACAAGACTGAAGAAGCACATCTCCTTTAGCAAAAGATAGATTTTCTAGATAGGATAGAAGAAACAATTCCTAAAGGAAATCTGGAAGAAAGATTCTTGAGGTAGCAAAGGGGAATCAAGATCCAGGTCAGAAACCATTTGAGTTGAGAAATATGACACATAATTAAAAAATTTCTGGTTTGGACCAGTGGAACTCTTGTAATAGAGACAAATCTAGATCTGCCACAGAACATTAGTGGTTCATGCTCTACCGAAGAGTAAATAAGTTTCAGAGGCAGTGAAAGGTTCAAGTAAACATATTTCTAGTCCCAGGAGAAAGAGATAAATAGGGGTGGCTGGTGACTCTTTTGCCTGAGAATGGTATGGAGATGGTTCTAAGTAAAACTGACCTGAATAACTGGGAGGTACGCCATCTTCCTAAAGCTTATTTTAGACTAGCAATGGAGAGCCTGCAAGATTTGTCAAACCTACAAATCATTAACTACTTCTGATAATTCATGAGAGATCATCAAATGATCATGTGCAAAATGAAGAGGTTGAATGAGGTGATCTATAAGATTCTTTCCAGTTCTAAATCCTTTCATCCTAAGAGAAATACAGTTTTCAGAACAAGAGAGAGAATAATTCCTTAATATTCAGCACTGGTCCAATCTCATCTAAACTTTTGTGTTCAGGTCTCAGTGGACACTGAGTTAAGATGGATGCTGAGCAGTGGGAGGATATCCAGAAAAGAGTAACCAGGATGATGAGGGGACTTAGAATCATATCATGATCAAAGGAATCTGAGATGTTTAGCCTGGAAAAGAACTATACGTGTGGAGAGAGGAGAAGAGAAAAGGAAGGAAAGAGAAATATAATTACTACCTTCAGATACACAAAGGGCTAAAATAGAAGAAGAATTAAAATTATTCTGTATAGCTACAAAGATTAGGGATAAGACAAATGTCAAAGTTACACAAGGGCAGATAGCTCAAAATAGAGAATATTCTCACAATTATATCTGTTTAACAATGCAAAAGGTTGCCTCTTGAGGCAATGAGTTTCTCTATTACTAAAAGTGCTCAAGCAGAGTTTAGATGACTACCCAGACTGGACATAGTGACTTGGAATCAGAAAGACCTGAGTTCAAATCCCATCTATGATACTTACTTATTATGCAACCATGGTAAATTACTTAAACTTGCTCAGGTTCAGCTTCTTTGTATGTAAAAAGGGAATAATAACAATTGTACTGTAGCACATCAGGGTTGTTGTAGGTTTCAAATGAGGTTATGTATATAAAATGCTTTGCAAAACCTGGAAGTTCTATAGAAGTCAATATTTATTAGTTAGCTAGTGTTACTGCTACTTGTCAAGGACATTATAATAGAATGAGCAGCTAAACTGGCCAACCTTTAAGGTCTCGTGCAACATTAAGATGCTATGACTGGGCAGGTAAGTGGTACACCAGCACTAGAGTCAGGAGAACTTGAATTCAAATCTGACATCAGACACTTTTTTTAACTGTGTGAGTCTGGGCAAATCATTTAACCTAGAGAGCCTCCAAAAAAAAAAAAAAAAGACTCTATGACATTGCAGTTCTTCACCTAGAAAGGTAAAGGTTAAGAGGAAACAGGATGGAAATTTCTGAAATCATGTACACTGTGGATAAGATTAACATAGCTAAAATCTTGTTAGAACTTGAATGAGAAGGTTTAAAAAAATTTTTTTAAAGTGCAATCTTATCCTCTGTGTAATAAGTATATGAAACTCATACCCCCAAGAATACCACTGCCAAGAAATTAATGGACTTTTAAAGAGTTTGGAAACATTTGTGAGTGACAATACCTATCAATACCTACTAAGAGAAGCAGTAACATGTTAAACAACCAAATTTAAAGTTAATTTCAGGAGGAATAATGATACCCTGTCATAACACATCCCTTGAAGAAGCTATTGGTAACAGAATAGTTGGGTTTGACCCACTGTGGAAATTTCTATGTTCCCTGATTAATGATTGGTGGCAATAGAGAATGTTTGTTAGGTAGCACTTATTAAATGCTGAAGAACCTGAAGAAAACAAATTTGCAAAGTACCTGGCACAGAGTAGGTAACTAACGTTTGTTGTTTGACTAGTTGATGGCAAAGACTATGGGGGGAAATGGGAGTCTGTTTAATACTTTCATCTTAGTGTAAAGAACTGCCCATTTTGTGTTTTGTTTTGTTTTGTTTTTTTTTTTGGTGAAGCAATTGGGGTTAAGTGACTTGCCCAGAGTCACACTACTAGTGAGCGTTTTGTGTCTGAGGCCAGATTTGAACTCAGGTCCTCCTGACTCTAGGGCCCGTGTTCTATCCACTGTGCCACCTAGCTGCCCAAGAATTGCCTATTTTGTAGGTGAACAGTTTAGTTGCTTAAAGGAAAACAAATTCATAAGAAAAATGATAAAAAAATTATAAAAGTCAACTTATGAAGAAACAGTATCTCATTGATAAAATTTTGAGGAATGGCTCATGTTGCTCTGAGTACCAGATAGAGAACTGCCAATCAGATGAATATACTGAGAGGACCTGTTTCAAGGCAGAAACGACTGAGATAATGGTAGCTGCTGGGCATTATGGTCCTTCAAACCTGTGATTGTTTTTATAGTTTTAAAGGTTATAATTGATATCATAAATCAAACAGTTATTTGGGGATGATGAAAAAATTATATAAGGGCTGATGGGAGACCATATCTGATAGAAAGATGAGTTTCTTGAATTTTATTCCCTAAGGTAAATATGAATCCCTTCATACCAGGAAGGTCTTATCCAAGGCAGTAGAGACTATTAAGAAGCTATGAGAAAAGATAAAAGAAGGAGTTTAATGGAAAAGGAATCTCAATAAGATGAGGGATAGAAGAAAGGTTTTCATCTCCTTTGTTGGGAACCTGCTAGTTGGAAGAGATGCATTGTTTTGCTGAATGGCTGGAGAAAGAATGCAACAGTTCCTAGAAGCGTGTTGGAAGAGAGGTATCTAAACCCCGCTATTGTGTAAAGAGCTTTTGGGGTGTGTTGTTTTTTAGGGCCTACAGGATGAGATAAGAGAATTCTCTCAGGGGTTATCTGTGTTGCCCTCTCCTGTTTTAGGAGGGTTTAAGCGGAAGGAACAGAATGTTTTGCTGTGAATATAAAGGACTTAGAGCCACCTGGACAAAGTAGAGAGATCTAAGGAGCTTGGCTCTGACTTAAAAAATACTGCTTCTCACTGAAAGAGAGTAATACTTTTTTTTTAAGTGCCCTGATAAAGGGGCTATTAGTGAAAATAGTTTGTCATTGTTTCATTGATTTGAAGGCAAAAGAGGAATAGCTTTGCCCAATAGGAGAGCAGGAAAGACCAGAAGGGAAATAGCTAGTAGAGGAGCAGTTTCATGTGGTGTCCTTGAAGGACATCCAGGTCTGAAGTCTAGAACTGTGTCATCCCTGGCACATGGTGTTCCTCATTCACGTTGCTCCCTGTTAGGTTTCTATGTGTACCCACTCTCCCCCCTTGATATTATGTGCATTGTTGGAAGAATGTGATCAGAGTTTATGGATGGATTATGATTATCCTCGCCCTTGATTTCTATTGAATAAATGTTGTGATTATTGTTGTTTATTTAATCTTATCACTTAGTAAATGTTTTATGTGTAAGAGTTACTGGTACCATGTGAATAATTGTGTGAAATTGGTAATACATTGGTAGGGGCTCAGTACACACACCAAAGTTACTCTAAAACTCTACCCCTAGAACCCTAAAGTATAGTAGTGAACTGTAGCAGAGTGTTTATGTCCTCATTCTGGGAACTCTTGATCTAGAATGAATTCAAAGGTTGGAATGAGTAAGCCAGATCAAAGAGAGAGAAGAGATTATGATCCCATGCCATCTCTATCCTATATTGTTGAGGCTAATCTTAATGCCTTCATATGCAAATTTAGGATAATAACATATGCAATATAGGGATGTCATGAGGAAAACATTTTGTAGATATATAAATATAGGGTGTTCTTTTAATTATCCCTTCAACATTAATATTATACTCTTTGAAAATGAGACCTTACCCCTGCCCTGACAGAAATATCTTAAAAGTTTCAACCTTGTTTATGAAGTTCATTGAATTCATGAGAGGTTATCACATAAATATATTGCTATTTTTACACCTACATATATTTGTAAAATAGTACAATATCTATATTTTTGCATGACAGCATACCTTTAGTACAATGGGAAAAAGGTCACTATTACCTCTTTCACTTATTACCTATTTAGTTATTTTATTAATGTATCAGTTATTGAGAGTGTGAATCAATACTATGGAAAAACTTCATCTTATAAAGTCATTACTTTTCTAGAACTTGAACTGCAATCTATGTGTGAATAAAGAACTAACTATGCATACAATTCTGTCATTACATATATAGTCACACCTTCCTTTTGCAGAATGATTATTTGTTAATACTCTTTGCACTGAAAAAAAGGAGTTAATTTCTAATTAGTGTACTGCATTCTCCTAAGATGACCAATTTTTCCATAATTACAATTTTCTACAAGCTTTCTGCAATTGTGTATTGAACAATTCATGTCTGTGTAGTAGCAGAAAGCACAATAATGATGCAAGTTCCCATGTCTGTTGCCCTTCTTGACAGCGACTTAGCCAATGTTCATCGTACAATCTTGTGTCTATCAAACACTCAAATCTCTCACGCTGATTCTTTGGTGCTCTCTGAAACGTGATCTGTCAACACATTTCGGACTACTGCTGTCGAGTACTCATTTTTTTCAGTAACAGATAACATATCAATTCCATCCATAAAGCTAGGAGATGTGATAGGATTGAGTATGGGAGTTTTTTGCTATTTTTTTAAAATTACATTTTGTGCCATATTTTACAAAGCACATATTCTTGTTCATTTGGATCATATGGTAGAATCTGTCTTAACACGTGGCCTAGTAGAAATGCTACCATGCCAAAAGAGAACTGAAGTTTCTAGAAACCTTCAAGTGATAAACAGAAATTTTTTACTCTTTGAGGATGCTGAAATTCAGCATATCACTACAGAGCAGAAGAGGAACTTTAAAACACAATAATACAGATATTTAAAGAAAGTACTTGCGACTCAAAAATGTGGTTCTACTGCAGTGAGCAATTAGTTTCCAATGTAATTTAATTATCTGCTGTCAGATTCTCAGAGTTCTTTAATGCTATCCTGCTAGTTATTTGTATTCTTTTCTAATCTAGATAAAATACCTCCAGGAAATAGAAATTTCAATCTGGGATTCCATTCATAGAATGTATGTACATAGCCTTGGACTCCCCTGCAAAGGGCATCTGATGGAAATTCCTAACTCTTGTTGGAACACTATGTATCTTCTGAGGAAGATAATAGGTATATATGCTCCTCATGAACACTGTGTACACCAAAATGTAAAATGTAAAAAGTCTCAAAAGAACCAAAAGAATGGAACCCTGTGTAGTATAATGCACTTGCTTACGTAAGGAGGGGCAAAACATTTAGTTGAATATTTGGCTCTCACGTACAGAGTGTCCTAAAATTCTTAGTATAGTTTTAAGCTATTGCAACTATAAAGCTATTAAAGTTATTATTATTATTTAATCTATTAAAGCATAACACTGCACTAAGACTTCTGGGCTTCTCTGTATGTGTGTGTGTACAGATGGATAGATACATAGATACATAGATGTGTCTATGTACTACCCTAGATGGATGAGAAAGGTCCTAGTTTTAATATTCAAAGCTAGATTGATATAGTACCAAAACCACAAAACCAATACTAATTTTACTGAATTAGTGGGTAGATGCAAAGATACTTCAGAATACAAGGATATGAAAAATTTCTTCCAATACTGTGGTTTTAGTCTCCATTCAAACAGCTTTTAGTTGCATGGTGAGTTTCTCTTATAATTGGCCAATTCCATACTTCCACCCTCAAAGAAGGAATGCTTCATTTACATTTCTAAAGTCTTCTCAAATCACAAAATAAGACAAACAGCTTGCTACCCTAAAACTCTGCATTTGATCTTTCTACACAGTCTGTTTATATGTGCCAGTGCTGTCATGAAACCCTCAGGCTTCTTCTAGTAATTAAAAATAGCCAGCCCCACCTGTTTAATTGATAGAGCACTATACTCACCCTTAAATGTACACCTCCTGGATTTACCCCTTATATACAGACACACATATACCCAGAAGTCTTTTTGCTTACCAGGGATGCTTTCTAATAACAGCCAGTAGAGGGCACCAAAGAGCCAAAGAGTTAATCATCCTGATGAGGGCTATGGAGAAAATGCAATGAATTTGGGGCATCTTAATCTATCAAGGAGGAAAGCGAGTTCTCCTACCTGATACGGATAATTGTACCAGCACTGCTTTGTGTTCCACAGCCAGGGTGTCTGGAAAAGAATAACAAAGAAATACATTTTAGTGATTAAGAAGGGGGGGGGCGCGGAAGGCACTTACTAAAGCATCCAATTCTAGGACATACTGCTCTTGCCCCACTTGAAAGGAGTTTTTATTTTTTGTTTGTGTGGATTTGGAGCACTTAAAATTTCAGGAAACAGATGCAGGAGTAATCATTATTCTAGCAATCGTGCCCTTTGATCATTCAGGCTATTGCTAGGACAAGAAAAACAGCAAAATACATAGGTGAAGATGAGGAAGTAGGGTATACACTCGGGTTATTTTTCTAGCACTGAGATAGATGGATCTGTAGTAATTTATTCACACTTTTACTCAGATCCCGCATAGCCAAGAGTACACAGGTGCAAGACAAGTGTGCTGGGTTAGTCTATGAAAAAATAATTCCTCTTTTTGTACAATTCACTGATCTATGTGTGTATTATACCCTCATGTTGTCTTCATTTGCCATGTTCCTTAAAGCACTGATCAAATTGACCCAAAGAAATTTTGGAAATCCAGAAGTAAAAAAGAAGACCCATTCAAAATTTGAGAAACTACAGAGGGCCTTAACTTTTTCACTTTCTCATTGTGAAAGGGCCAAAATAAAGGAAAGGAATGAACAAATAGCAAAAAGTCAGTCACTGAATTTTTCTTGAATCCACTTTCCTCTAAACCAAGACAGCATATTTCTATTTGCCATGGAGTGAAGGGGAAGAAGAGGGAAAAGTAAGAGGAAGGCAAATGTAAAGATGTCCACCCTGAAGCACAGAGATCTCTTCTGGGAAGTAGGACTTCTTCCTTGGGTATGACTGAATGTGAACCCTTCCTTCTTTCACTCTAAGCTCCTAAAGGACATATCTGTTCTAGGCCACCACGAATGATAACGAAGAAGTGGGATTCAGAATGGCTTACTCTCTAATTTTGAGCAGCTACAACTTCACTGCTGGGATATCAATCCTGCTCATCCCCTACACATTTTAGCTTTGTTTTTGGTGATCCTGGAGTCTCTAAGTAATTGTGGCCAAAGTTTTTGAGAGAAATAATGATACCTTACTAGTATTTTTGTATACTGCTTCTAAATTTTTATTTCATCTTCCCACCCTTTGAAAAAGAACCAATACCATGATCATTTTATAGATTACATAGCTTGAGGCTCAAAAGATGCTCAAGTACAATTTGCCCAAAATCACATGTCTAATTTGTGGAGGAACAATGATTGAGGCTCTGATTTCCTGAATCAAATTTTAACACTTTGTATATTTTTTTGCCCAAATCTATGTCTCAATCCACTTTTTCCCCTCTACTGCCATTCTCCTTCTTTGTTACTCTCTCTTTCTTTCCAACCCTGTTTAAGTGTCTAGAATCTAGAATTGAAGGTAATACTGAATTATTAGGTTTTTTTATTGCACTGTTCAAAAGCAGATGGAATGTTTTATTCTTCTTTCTCTTGAAATAATGAAAAAGCCACCTTAAATTATGTACTATTCATTTATGTGTCCCCTCAACAGAGTCCATTTTTGCTATATTTCTCCCTGATTTAAGCAGGCACTATGTAGACTATACTTGAATCTGGTGGAAATACCCCATGAATCGAGTGCTATACACAGAATTATAGGGTTTAAAGAAATGCCATTCTTTAGAAACTATTTATTCCATAAGGTGAATTATACTTAAAATATCCCAATGTTATGGTTACCATTGTTAAAATTTCTTATGATCAATCTCTAGGGCTAAGGTTTTTGGTCTTTTCCCTTATCAGTAAACTTGATCTCTCCTCACTGTAATTTAGGCTTATTTCTTGGTAAATAGAAGTAGAGAATAACTAGTCTTAATACACTTTGATACTTGAAATGCCGAGAAACCATTATTGAGTCTTTCTTCAGCCTTCTGTCGGTACTTTTTCATTTACACAGATTCATAAAAGGTTCAAATTAGAGCAAAAGAAAGCGGCATGAGATGCATGTTTACCCAGTTCACACTCTGAATCTCAAGTCACAAAGCATAATAGGTTTTTCCATTACACTACATACATTTGCTTCAAGACACATGAAGCCCACAGTAGTAATGAGCAAGGAAATAAACAATCCTGCACCTCATATAAAGGGTCAGGGTCATCTTTCATCTTGAACAAACATAATCACTTCATTATGGATGCAAAACCAGGGCTAGCTTCCCAAGGATATCATCTTATCATCCCCATTTTTTATCTAATAATTTGTGTGTGTATATATACACACACATACACTTACATCAAACTGTATAGAAGAGAACCAAATCAGGTATCTATAATCACTACAAATAGAGTAGGATTGTATAGAATACAATATCATGTATATGTATTTATGTCATCTATTCTTTTATTTCATGAAAGACAGGAGGGAAGCCTTCTTATGTTAGTATAGCTGTTATTTTAATCATTTATACTTTTTATCAACTCTTTAGTAGAAACACAATTTCAGTGTGAACAGAACTTGACAAAAATTGAAGAAGAGGGCCTCTAATATTTTACCACCTGGTGTATAGCAGGTTTGGTTTATTTTAATCTCTTCCTAGGAAATTTCTTAAAAGTAATATTTTTAAAAGATAGTATTGCACTACTTTCCAACTTCTGTTAACACCTATCGTTGCATGGAATCAATTATCAACAAATCAACATCCTGGCACTTATGTGACCTTGGACAAGTCACCTCACCTCTTGGGACCCATTTTCTACATCTGTAAAGTGAGGGATAATACTCTAAGTGCCACCTACCTACATCACAAGGCTATTGTGAATGTATGAGAAAGTACTCCATAAATCTGAAAGTATTACAGAAATGTAAGCCATTAAGATTATAAAATTCATGACAATTGTCTTTCAAAGCATCTCTGTATTAGGTAGGCGAAGAATGAAGCCATATATAAACATGTGCATCCAAAGCTACATGAGGAATAATAAGGAAATACCTAATGGTTGCTTACTGTTTAAAAGCATAGACTACTTCTCTGGTAATGAAGCACTACACACCAAGAACATTTAATTATTTCTTATTAAAAAAATAAGTAAAAAATTCACAGTAAAAATTTTAACTAGAAATGTGAGACTATAGAAAAGGACTGTTAGTTTACTAAGCTTAATTTAGATAATAAAATGAAATAGTTTAAAAATTAGGTAGTTAGATGGCTAGAAGCAGTAGTTTCTTGGAATTAAACACTATTTTACTTGGACTAATAAAGGACTAAAGAAGTTTCCCAGTGTTAGTAAAGCACCTTGGTCTTTTCATCTACAGTTAGCTTGTCAAAGACAACAATTCTCTTCAAGACAGAAAGTTCTTTTCATCTTAACTAGATTAGCAGTCATGTTTTATTTATTTTTTCTTGGTAGTGGTTTGCTTGTTTTCTTTGTTTTTTAATGCAGTAAAGATACTTTGGGGAAGGTTACAGTTGTAGCTATACTAGGGTTGGATTAGCCTAGAGCTCTGCTAGCCAATTGGCATAAATGTCACCATTTCCCACTTACCAACCAAGTATACTTTCTTCTTACACATACAAAACAGACATGAGGAAAACAGCAAGCAAATCTGTAAAAACCAAACTGCTCATCTAGGGAGGGATAACTTAAAAAGAGAAACCACATGCATGGTACGTGCATTTGCTTTAAAAGCTATTCAGTGACAAGAAAATGTAATTTTGACACCCCACTCCAACCTTAAGTGCAAGGTTTTTGAACCCACTATTGATCAGCATTGGAAAAAAATATATTGTCATTCATAAATTGGTCAAGATGTTCCTTCAGTAAAAGCTGGACTCAATTCACAAAAGAATTTGAATTGGCCCAACATACAAAGTGGGATGGATACTTGGAACCCATACTATGAGCCTCTCTGGGCTGTCTAAGAATGCAGACGAACACTTGGGAATTTGCTTTGGGGCTTTACCTGAGAAATAAAGGAAAGGGGATGTTTGGTGGGTAACATTTCATACCAGCATATTTACCTTTTAGAAACATGGGCTGAGTCTATAGGTCTTATTTAAAAGGGGGAAAATGAAGATAAGAGAATCAAGAAGAGATGAGAAATGAGAAAAAAAGAAATGGAAGAGTTTGGGGCACAGAAGAGAAGAAGAGTTGTTTAAAAATGGCCACAAAGATAAATTCAACAAGGTGCAACATGTGGGTCTGATTTATAGGTATATTACTATAGGACTAAAGGTAGTAGACCTCAGGGCAGGTAGATGGCGCAGTGGATAAAGCTCCGGCCTTGGAGTCAGGAGGACCTGAGTTCAAATCCGACCTCAGACACTTCACACTTACTAGCTGTGTGACCTTGGGCAAGTCACTTGCCTCATCAAAGTCACTTGCCCAACTGCCTCCTCAAAAAGCAAAAAAAAAAAAAAAAAGTAGTAGACCTTTATACAGACCTCTATATTCTTTTTAACAAATCTCATAAGCAAAAACATTTAAACTGTATTTACAAATAGTATACACTATTAATAATGTATTGCCCCCTCAAGTTATTTGAAGAATTCTAATTACAGTCAGATTCTAGCAGTATAAATTGCTGCCTCTGCAGTACATGTAGGCTGTCATTGATATTTTATGACTAATAAATAATTCCTTAATTTAATTTTGCATTTCAAACATAAAAGTCACATTTCATTGTAGAACTGACAGCAATGCCAAGGTCATAAGTTAAAGGACGAAAATCCCCAATGATAAATCAATAGCACAGATGAAGCCAAACATATTTATTTTTACTGACTACCTACCAATTCTCACTCCTTATCTTGCTGCTAATATTGACAGCCATGTGTCACATAGGACATAGACTGGAAAGGCTGGGCCTGGCCTGGCAGGAGAGTTCAGGGATGAGAAAAATTCAATACTCATTTAGAGGGAAAGGAACATTGTCAAAAGTGGCTGTGGTTATGGGGGTGGAAATAATTTCCAAAGTAATCACCAAATGTTGTTCTGCCTCCAAGATATTTGGATGGATGGATGGATGGATGGACGAAT